TCTTGAAGTAGCTCAAAGATATTTTTGACTAGACTCTGGATGTTTAATCCAATTGGTATCTTAGACTACTTTTGAAGCTGCCCTCAGTTCCAAAGCACAGTGTCAAAAACTGCAGGTGACTGTTTGAGAATACAAGTCTAAGCAGTCCCTTGAGCTAACAGAGTTGGTTTTTCTGCTATTGGATCCTAGACATGATTTCCAAATCTAAGATAAACTCATGTTTAAATATAACTATTGGAAAGGCAATTAATAATTCACAGAAAAAAATTATCCACTCATACCAATGGCAATTGCAGTCTCCTGTGAATCTCCAGTAATCATTTTTATCATTACTCCTGAAGTGATAAGTGCAGTGACTGCTTCTTTTACACCAGTTCTTGGAGGATCAATAATTCCAACCAGACCCAGGAAGCAAAGCTGTCCAAGCTCAGGACCAGAAGCTAAGGCCAGAACTTGTAAATGAAACAAAAACCGGAAAGACTTTTAAACAGGGTACCAATATAAAATAGCAGCTAGTCTTCTACAATCTCTAAGGGATGCATTAAACTAAAAAAAGCTTTGTCTCTAGCAATATGGTACCCTTGAACAGAAAGCACAAGAGTTTCCCAAAATAAATTTCACCTTTATAAATTGCAGTCAACTGAAAATGATGCAAATTGTTTGTATGACTGGTAGCAAAACACTGTGATTCCTATATTGGAGGCTGCAGGAAGGTTACAGTTATAGTTTTGCTTTTCCCTGCATAGTTTCACAATTTACTGAAAGTTCATTTGCCCTCCATATTTTGGGTTGAATATATTTGCGTGGGAGTAAGTCCCATTAAAGTTAATAGGTTTACCCTTGGTAGACAAGTACAGGATTACACTCCAAATAAGTTGCACTTAAGTCCTACTGATTTCAGTGGGAACAAAGTCATAACTAACCTTTTCATTGCTTTTCGTGAAAAGTGAATACTACTAATCTAGTCTGTTTCTAAGTTACAGTTTGGAGGCCAGTCTCCCTATAAGGTTATTTTGAGAAGTCTGAAAATTAGCATATGCTTTCTCTTTGAAATTTTAGACACTTCAAATTGTAAACTAAGAAGTTAAAACATATTTTCTCAGTTTACAGTATGCACATACAATCTCAAAGCAGCACAATCTACAACAATGGGAGCAAATGAAAAAAGGAGTTCCTTACACTGAGCACAGGAAGCAATTTGTTTTCAAAATGCCACACTTGGCTGTGGAGATAATTCTGGCATATGGTATTACCTCTAAGTCCTGCTGAGCCCATTGATGCTTTTTCTTGCTGATAAAGATCCCTTTGCTGCTGGCTAAGAGGTAAGCTATGCCCCTTGCTATTGTATGTTGTACAGTATCGAATCACTTCTTCATAAGCACCCTTCATGAAGCAGATCTCTGGTTTGTCCTAAAGGAATAAACATAAACATGTTAGTACATACTGATCTTTCCTCCATCTCAGTTCTGTCATTTATGTATTTCAAAGCTTTTTTAGTTTGTCAATCTTGACAATGACTCGACAAGACAATGACGACAAACCTATGCCCCACAGAGTTTACTTTATTATCAGTATAATATTACTCGCTCTGGGAAGAAAATGAGGCACAGCTTTATTTCCTTGACTGTTCTGTTAACAAAAGCAGCACTACTACGCAGAAATGCTATAATGCTGCTGTAGAATCTTAAGTTAAAGAATAGGTCTGAACACTGAGAATATGGGCTGGCATAGCATAGGAATAATAACTTTGCTCTATTTCCTACAATTTGTCAATTTTACTGTCTTGCTTCTGTAGCAACACTTACATTCTAACATTTCCCATGGAATATACTGTCTGTAGCACAATCCTGAGAGTCAAGCACCTTCAGAGAGTACAAAACCTTTTCCCCAAAAGCTTCTCTGAGCTGAGTGGCATATCATCAGAAAACTGAAAAAAGATGGCATAACTGCTACAAAATTCACCTAGTTGTGTTGAGCCATTTACATATCAGTTCCAACCATATTTACATGGCAATATAATTTTGTTTGTTTAAATTGTAGAAATAAAATAAAATGGGCTTGTGTTCAAGTAAATACATTGGCAATTTCACCTTCAGTTTGATATGCAAGTATATCTTCATACAACCCAGAGCCCTAAAATGACAAGACACTGTAAGATACTGAAATCTGTTGGGTAAAAAATGACAGAAAAAGGCCTACCTGTTGTGTTCTGTGTATACACTTAACAGCCATCCATTTTTGCTCAGAGCTAAAGGGATATTCTGCTTTTCTTATGTAGTCTTGCTGGATTCCATCCAAACCCATCTACGAGAACAAATGACACTGCTAATACAACACACAATGTTTTTGCAGCCAGATAATCCATTATCAGGCCTATGTTCCACAGGTGCACTTTAGCTAACTTGCTTCTACTCGGTATTGTTACAACAATCAGTTTGATATGAGTTATTCTACTATGGATATGGGTACTGAAGATACTACTTCATGGCAGAGTACCAAATTAGAGAAAGGAAGCCATCCAAATGTATAGGTGAATTTTAATCCACATAATTCTCATATCCTCTTAGAGTGGCATTTAACCCCCACATTATACATACTAGTTCTGTCTATAGTTACTTGCAAAAGCTCCATTTGTTCCAACTGGGCTGGTTTGCAAGTGTGTTTAGTTTCCCTTTGGTTAATTTTCTTAGCAAGTTTTAGAACCATAGTTCATCTTATTACAAAAGCCAATATAACACCTCTTTTACCAATCTTCCAGCTATACTATCACAATTATATGAAGTCAATCAACTTAAAATGGCTTTTTGTGAAACTGCTAATTAACATTCTTGCAGAGATGAGAAACCACTCTAAAGGAATCTGATGTAGTTCTGTCTGTAAATTCAACAATTCCAGGTCTACCTAACAACCACCTGAGAAATGTTAACTTCTAGGAAAATGGGTGGGATACAACTCTATCAACCATTGTATCTCAGAAAACATGGAAAAATCAGGATTTTTAATACAACTGTAAATTAAAGTATTAAATTTCTAAGTACATGGCAAAACCATGAATTTATACAATGTATGAATAGCATTTGAACAGCTCGATCCCATGTGGCTTTACTTGGAAGCATCACTAAGTTCAATGATATTTCTGAGCAATACGGCAATGTTACAAACACAGAGTCTTGCCAATTCACTTTTTTGACAATCAAAGTATATCAAATGAAAATTCCTTGCTGTCTAAGATGCTCCAAGACTGCTGTTTTTACTGCAGCAGGTCACTTTCAAAATACATTAAATTCTTCATTCTATTATCAACCCCAGTTCTGTTGCCTATTAAAAGACATCAATACACTACCTACCTTCATAGCAAGTGCAATTAAGGCCCCTTCTGTTGGTTTTCCCATTAAAGTATTGTTTCTGATTACAGCATCATTGCACACACACCCAGCCTATAGAAAAGAAACAGGATCATGTAATAAACAAATGTCCACACTTCAGAAGAGAAGAGATTTCTATGCAAGATCCTACCTCAACAATTTTGCTGACAGATGGCTTGTTAAATCCATGAACAACTTCACCTTCAACAACAACTTCTCCAAACCTATTATAGCCCACTCCAGTAACCTTGAACAAAATAGCAAACATTTATTTTAAATCATTGTTAAAAACTATTTTTTCTACATGATCTTAGAAATGGAGGTAAGAAAGAAGAGACCTAGGGAAGTATCCAGTGGTATAATTCCACAAACTCAAATAGCACTAATGGAGTTACTCCAGATTTTTCCATTGTGCAAACATAATGCCCAAGCAGTTGTGCAAATTAATGTGCAACCAGTTGCACAACTGTGCTTGCAAAATGTAACTTTAATTGGATTTTCATCTTGTACATATTTCAGAAGCTTGTTTCTGCTTATATATCATACGTACTAGCAGAATGACTGATAGCACACAGTATGAATGATAAAAAATGAATCCATAGAATTCCCTAATAACTATAATTCAATTTGTTTTATTTGCTTTAACAAGTCCCAGAAACTAATAGATTTGATTATCAGGATCAGAGCAGATGGAAATGCTAAGGAAATATCCAATCACTTCATCAGCTAATTACAATAAAAGCAGTCTCATTACCAAATGACTCTCAAATGACATTTTCTACTTTGTTCATTTCTGAAAAGAAGAAAAGCCCCAAAAAATTATTTTGGAATGAAGCCAGAAATTTTTGATCCCAAGCAGTAGATTTTCTGTCCCTGTTATGACACTGCTACATTCATTTGTTTGTGTGAGTGAGTGAGTGAATGAATGAATGAAAGAAAGACAGCCAACCAGCCTTTTCAGAACAGCCCCTGCATTTATGGCCCCACAATCTGTACTACCTTCTAGCATTTCTCTTCTTAAGGTGATAATAATAGTCACAATTATAGTTCACAAATTAGTGTGAAATAGCCACTTCACTTGAACCTGTTTTCTGTAGCAGCAGCTATCCAGAAATAGATTGAGATTTGGACAAGTTCTCAGTAACATCACACTTCTTTTAAGTGAAGACTCTACCCATGCATGTTCACATTGCTTATTCCTTACCTCTGCATGTAATCCATCTGCTGTAAATATATGGGTAACAGTCATTTCATTCTTTGTTAGAGTACCAGTCTTATCTGAACAAATCACATTGCAGCAGCCTGAAAAACACAAACAGGATAATGGAGAGTTTCTAACAGATTTGAACAAAGTAACAGGGCATGGGAATGGACCCTCCCAGGAAATGGGAAGAATGTTTGGTTAGGCTAAGCAGGTAGCAAGCTTCTCCCCAGATGAAGTCAACTGTCAACTGTCAAATCCCCTTCGTTTCAGCATCTGTTCGCTCAATTTCAGCCTCAAATTGGTGGAACAGAAACATTTGAGGATTAGGTGGTTTTCACTCACCACCCAGGAAGGCAGTCATCACATGATTAATGACCTTTTATAAAAGCCCTAATCCCCAGCTTCACCTCCATTTTTCACTTTTGAGACAGAATACCAGAGAATAGGACAGAACAACCGAGCCAGAAAATAGGCCCAACAGGCAAAATGCATTCCTCCGCAAGGCAAAGCAACAACCTAGAGTACAAAAAGCAGGCCAGTTGGATAAGAAAAATGAGGTCAGCTACATGAAGGATGAGATTGAATATCTTCTTCCCAACAACCTACAATGGACTTCTACAGTAACTTCTATCTTCAGGTTGGTATGAGAAAGCATTCAAAGACTGAGATGTGCTCAAGATGTTCTCTTCTTACCAGTAGGCTAGTGGTTGACTTTGCTTGGGAAGGACCTTACTCTGAAGAATTCATTTACCAAAGACAGCCTACACTGAAGTAAATTGTTTAGCCTTGAGTGACCTGAAAAAAATGTTTGGTGTGGCCTACATTGCCACCCTGCAAATATCTGTCAGAAGTGCACTGGTGGGGAAAGTGGCCAAAATGGCTGCATATCACATGGAGGAATGGTTAAGTTGTGTGGGCCACAGGAGATGATGTGAAGCATATAGTTACAATATAGTCTTCAGCATTCAGATACTTACTGAGATTCCCAACAGCATCCACCAGACCTCTCTGTATGACTGCCCCAGACAATCCTTCTCTGTACCTTCCCCAGCTCTTGCCCATGATTTTCCTCCACTGCTTACCTCACCTCACCTCAGAGCTGCCAAGGCCCAAAGATGTGACTGTAAATGAAGGAAGTAAAAGGGGGAAAACCCAAGCAAGAACTGAGAAGGTATACTGGGGGCGGGAGAGAGTGAGGTAACCAAGGATGAATAGGAGCAAAAAAGGAAAGAATCCAGGGGAAGGTGACGGGAAAGTGGAAAGTCAGGCAAGCTGGGGCAAGAAGATGTGCCTGCAGGTCTGAAAACAAATGGCAAATGTGTCCTGAGACTCAAAAAATTTAACAAGGGTTGATCTGAGCTTGGGAAGTGGAATAGAAAAACAGAAATAGTGAGTCATTGCACCTGAAAGATTTGATTCTACTTATCTAGATTCCGAGTTTCCCCATGCACATCCAGCTTGTGCCACACTACCTATGAAAGGTGTGAAGAGTTAGAGCATAAGGAAAGCAGTGCAAGATCCTAAGGGCAGTGAAACAAGAAGTTAATCTTTGATAGAGAAGAAGGTTCGAGGTGCAGAATGCTCATTCTCAGTCTTACACTGAGAGGTCCCTCATTTGTAAGACTGAACCATATGTGATAGGAGCCAGAGCAGGATGGTGCATCATGGCTCAAACAGAGACTTTCTCAATGTCTTGAGGACAATAAGTAGTCTACAGGAGGGAAATCAGTACACCTCTAGTGAGTCTAGGAGTATTGTGGGTTGGAACAACATTTCAGATGGGAGTTGGATGCCCCTTTGCACAGATAGGAATGTCCGCACAGAATGAAGGTAAGTACTGGGAGGCTGACCCTTGCCAAGTTTTGCTTTCAGGAGAGTCAACAAGTCTCTGATGCCAGCCTTTTACAATAGATGGGTTTTCTCTTGCACTATCAAGAGAAGACTTTTCTAAGTGGTGCCATAACATGCACAGCCCATAGACTCCAGGAGACAGAATGGTGCTTAGAATAGCTCTGAAGAAACAGTTGCATTTGTATAATTTAGTTAGGTCTTTACATAAGGTATTGTGGTCAAGGTCCTGATTTATTTAGAACTTCTTTGATGCAAAGGAAGAAGGCCCATATGAAAAAAGATGATGTGGAGGAGACTCTAATAAAATGTCACCCTGTGGACTTTTTGGAAGACTGTATCAGATCTTCTCCCTGCTGGATCCCTGAGGGGTGTCCCCTCTGCAGGGGTTAGAGCACCCTACAAAACGGTCATCACAGGAACATCCACTAGGAACTTATAGGTCATCTAACAGGACAGATTTTCAGCTACTCTGATCCATCCCACTTTCTATGTTGGAGTAGACTGTTGCATTCAGTGTTCACTAGTTTATCATGGTGAAGATTTTCAGTTTAGCACATTATCTTCCAGGAAAACTGATGTTCATCTGTAAGAGGCCTCTGAGATACAGACAAGAGGCTGTAGATCATTGGACTGTGAAGCTGATTGCAATTGGAGAGATAATATTGCCTTGGAAACTAAGGGGAGAAAAATGTATTAAACAATATATTTAAGGAAAAATTTCAGTTTGCGCAGAATCTGACAATTTTCTCTCCTCACCAGAATTGTCATACAGAATGCTTAGATTGAATGCTTACAACATTTTTGCCTCTACTGTTCCAAAGGGTTCCCTTGAGTGATAAGGTAGGGTGACTAGGCAAATCTTGGTTAGACTCATCCAAACAATAAACACCTCTTTCTTGGCTTTGGCCTTAGTCCTGTCTGAATTCCCTTTATTGTTTCCCTTAGGTCTCAAAGAACAAGGCAGTGGAGAACTCAAAAGGGACCCAAACTCTAGCTCTCTTTTGGCAGACAGATAACTGTTCCCATTGCAACAGTTGGTTGGTAATTTTGCATTCCAGCCCTTTTCATTTTGTGATAGCAATGAATGTGTTGCCATACTGCCTAGCAGCCAATGTTCTCTGATCATTTCACAAAGAAATAGAAAACATACGTAAATGAATATTTAGAAACTTTTAACACCGAAATTTTAAAGCCACTTAAACAGCTAAAAACAATTACAATGAGATAGTAGGACCTAATTAAAAACAACTGCCATCCATATCCAATCATATTTCATCAATGCCAGGGAACAGAGAACAGTCTAACCTGGCACTGAAAAGATGCCAGTGTTGCCTGGCACCAGGAGGACTTCAGTGGGAGATGGTTGTTGGGGGTGGAAGTGGAACTAATGACAAAAAATCTCTCTCCATTGTTGCTACTTTCCAAGCATTCCTTACAGGGAGCACTCTGAGCAAGGCCTAGGATGCTGACCAGTGTATGCAAGCAGGTTCATACCAGGAGAGGTGCTCTACCAAGTGCTGTGTTTCCAAGCTGTGTAAGTCTTAATAGATCAAAACCAACATCTTGAAGAGGCCATGAAAACATACAGGCAGCCAGCACAAGTAGTCCAGAATTGGTGTTCTATTGCAGAACTTCTTGTCCCTGTAATCAATCTGGCTGCCACAGCTTCTGGATAGCTACTAAAAAGTCTCTGTCGATGCATGGTTCTTCCTGCTTGAGAGGCTCTAGATCAATATGGAAGTCAGGCTGGGTGGCAGCATGACCATACTGTAAACAAACTCGGACTGCAGAAGAGTGGTGATCTGAAATCAATCATGTGTGAGCAATGTCTTTCTTTTTCAGGTTTGCAAACTTGGCTGCAGAAAAAGAATCCATGTTCACCATATCCAAGCAGATAGAGTATAGTGGATAGTACAAGAAAAGGCTTCCTCCCCACCCTTTTTGACTGAAGTCAGAAAATGAAGTCAGTCAGATTCAGAGTTGAAAAGGATTACTTTAGGGATTTTAGAATATAGAAAAGATGGGCTCTGAGAGTAGTAACTGTCCTGGACAAAAGCAAGGAATAAAACTAGAAGATCAGGACTTCCTTCAAAGATCACAAATTCTATGATACTGGCTTTCCTACATAGTAAGAGAAGTTAAGCCACTTCAAATGCTTCCTCTCAACAACACAAGAAACACTGCTTGTAAAGCCCGTTTCAATAAAAGTAGTATAAAATGTGATTGATAAAAACATGTATTAACAGATTTTGGTTATTCTTACCTAATGTTTCAACGATCGGCAATTTCTTGACAATAGCCTGTTTCTTGACCATTCTCATCACACCAAGAGCCAATGTTACAGTTACAACAATAGGTAGCCCTTCAGGGATTGCAGCTACAGCCAAACTGAAAGTTTAAGGGGATATGTTAACTTAGCTATGTATACATATTGAAGGCAGAAAGGTGCTATTCATAGGGCTGAATCAAAATGGGGGTGGAGTCACATTTCATGAAGAACTTTACACCCAATATTTTTTTTAAAGAAAACCTGTGAAAGAAGGCAAAATATGTTTGCCAAAGTGAGCATTGGCCTCACTTTAATTTGGCTGATGGGCAACACAGAACTGATGTAACCTGTGTGATTCCCTATAGACTATTACAAAGGCGAGCCTAACCATTTTTTAAACAATATGTGCTAAAGATACAGATCAGGAGTAGAACCAACTGAAAAGTGACACTAAGTAGTGTCCAGCAAACAACGCTGATGACATTTCACCCCAGATTTTCATGGGTGAAAATTCAGCATGGCCCTAGTTAGGGTTATAGAACTGGCACATTTCATGAGCATAGAACCCTATGAGGAGACCTATTTTAGCATAAAAGTGAGTGGCCCAGTTGAGTGGAGCACATGCTTTGATTTGGGGGGGGGGGGATCCTGTTCAATTTCCACTACTTCCAATTAAAATGATGGAATGTGGCAGAACAGGGAAAGCCCTTTAAGAGCTGTGGCAAACTAGAATAGATGGCTGTATAGACCTGTATTCTGATTCAATACATGGTAGCTTTGATGTTTATTGAAAAATGTTTACTGAATATGCTTATAAATTGTGTATCATACACAATTTCATATAGAGATGGCAGATGGCATGTTCTACCAGAGCGTAGAGGATTTCCTAAGAGAAATAAATCATGAAAGGGAATTGAATTGATGGGCTTTGTAGAGAATTCAGAAAGATATATACTAGCTCTTTATAGTTTTTCAGCTCCCCTCTATGGGAAGAAAAGGTACAAGGGCAAGTCAGTCCCACTACTGACAGGCGGCTTGATGAGCCTCTGTCTGATGAGCCTCTCAGCTGGAGTCCCAGTCAGCTTTGATTTAGGTCATGCTATCTTTGCAGGTGCAGAAAGTGAGCAACAACATAAAAGCCCATACTATCTTCTCCTTACGTTTAATTGGGCAATGCCTTTAGGGAGTGCAAGTTTAAGGCAGAGGATACCATACTACCTAAAAAACAAATTTAACATGTGGAATTTTATAGATAAAATTCTTTTTATTAGATTGTGTAGGAGACATCTTTTGATGAAGATTACTACCAAAACATGGGGAAGGATATAAATAAACGGCTTGGGACCAGGATATCTAAAGGAATGTCTTTTTTCCTGTATGCCCTCCTGTCCCCTAAGATCTGCAGCAGAGGCCCTCCTCTGGGCACCTTCCTTGAAGGAGATCAGGAGACAGAATACTCGGAGGAGGGCTTTCTCTGCGGTGGCGCCCTGGCTATGGAATGCGCTCCCTAAAGAGGTCCGCCTGGCGCCATCATTATGTGCTTTTCGGCATCAGGTCAAGACCTTTTTATTTAACCAATATTTTAATGTTAATAGAGTTTAAGTATTATAATTATTTTAATTTGTTTAACTTATTTTAATAATTAATTTATCACATCAGTCGTGGGATATCTAATTTATTGTTATCTGGAATATGTACATTGTATTTATAGATTTTATAAAGCCATCCAGAGACGAAAGTGATGGATGCCCTAGAAATATCCTAAATAAATGAATAAAGGATATAAATAAAAACTTTCAGGGCAAACAAGGGACACCTAAGATACAGGACACTGTTCAATCAACTGAAGTTAGATGCAACTCTACTATTAATGTGATCAACGAGATTCAAACAGCTTTTAAGGGAGCAATCCTATTCACACTTAGACAGCAGAAAATCTTACAACTGGTGGTGGCTTAGGAACACAGGGAGTTGTGGGATTTTTCTCTCTCTAGATATGCATAGGATTGCACCCTAAGAAATCTGGGTGGCTTTGTTAGAATTAGAGCAGCTGTTGCTTCTAAAGTAGAGGGGAATGGCCATTTTCTTCACCTTGATACAAACAACTGATGTGTTACTGAAACCAAAAGGCTGATCATCTTGTGCCTATATAAAATGCTGGCCACCTTTTTGAAAGATCTTCATGCTTAATCACAGGCAAAAACTACACTTGTTTCAGATGATACCATCATAAAATGTCTTCATGATTATGGTATACTTATTACCCTTTCACCATATGAATGTGTATCTATGTATGCAATCATGTACAGGAATTCAGCATGTAGTATGTAACTAATACCAAGCTTCACAAACATTTAATTGTTGATTAGCACAGTCCAAACAGAAACATGGTTACTGGCTTGTAAACATGTGCTTAACTTTGTTTTAGCTTTCTTAACATCACACTGCAACGTGAACAACTTTAACTATATGCTCACTCCCTACATCAATAACATTGGAAGCTGCCTTCCCCAGCCCTTAAGGTTATCTACTAAGAGACCATTTTATGAGGTGTAAACATGGAAGAATGCTTCAAATGACATGAACAAAGCTTATTTGCCATGGAAACTGACTCTACCCAATGCAGAACGCAAGATAATTTTGGTGGAGATTTCTTCATTGTGTGACATCTGCTTTCTCATATAATGTATCTAGAATATAATACTCACCTTACACCAATGGTAAACATATCAAGGATATGCTTCCCTTGCAACCAGCCAACTAACATAATTATGCCTATAAAAAAATGAAATTCATCTTGTAAAAAATCGATTCCTGTCCCAATATCCACATAACTTTCCAATCAGTCTGAATAGTCCAATATGCTAAATCTCAACCAGTGGTTTTCTTACCAATTATACCAAAGGAATACAGGGAAAGTTGCTTTCCTAGAAGATCCATGCTCCTCTGCAAAGGTGTTTTTGGAGCCTTGGGACAAAGAAAAAAAAAAACCAAAGCTTTATTTAGTTAAGACATGAGTTTTGTCAGATTGTCTGCTTGTATTCATCTTATTTTTAAAATGAATGTTTATATTTCTATCCTCCGTTTTCCTTCCAAGAAAATAGTTCTATATTACATTATAGAGAAGTTGCCTTTGGAATTATTGTAGAAATAAAAATCCAAGGACTGGATCTGGAAACTACCGTTTGTGACAGATCACTTCTCTCTTAAGCCCCTTCAGTTCATTTTCTGGGGATTCCCACACACACCATGGCTTGGAAGAGGTGTCCTGAATCTTTATTTAATATTTTTAGGGGCTGGAGGGACTGCCATTGGAAGGAAGGATCATGGCACTTTACTTCTGGCAGCAGAATTGATCTAGCATAAATATGAATCCAGCCCAATATAAATGTTATAAACAAATATACCGCACTGCCTTGTACAAAGCATCTGTTTTAAAAGAGTGTTTAAAAGGACGTTTTATCTGCTCAAGTTATTCAGCAACAGTAAGCTCTGTAAATTTTTTTCCTTCATTTGTCAAACAACTTACTTCTTCTGCTTGCATCATTTTGAACACCTCTCCAAACTCAGAATTTTCTCCAGTTCCAATAACAATTCCCTGTAAAACAAAACAAGTTAAAAATTTTAGCCAAAGGAGATTGAGGGTTTTGCTTGCATTTTTTTCCAGTGTAGAAACAAGCTTGTTAATATAACAAAAGGGTGAATGCATTTCTAGTTTTAAACCAGATTCACCACTGTCTTCTATTTTTAAAAGGGTCACTGAACAGTTAAGGCATGACTAATCTGTGTTCACTGAGATTACATTAGGTTAGGTAATAAGAGGTACTTTGCTGAATTAGATCAAAGTTGACATAGTACAGCATTCTTTGCAGGCATTCTAGCAAGCACTAAAAGGCACATCAGAAACTGGCTAGTATACCCAGATCTACCTTTTCCCCCACATCTAGCAGACAGATGGCAAGCTCTTATTCGCACTGAGATGTTAGCATTTTCTACAAGATACTTTTAAAGTTCAAATGTTCTTCCTTTAACTTGTCATGCATTCACTCTTGAATTATAAATGGTAGCATAATGGTAATGTTCTGAAGTGTTATTTTGTGTTTGGAACTAAGAATAGCAATACATTGTACAAATCTGCATTACTATATAAGAGGCAACTGAAAACTTTGTAGCATTATCAGGTAATAAAAAATGTAAATACATAGGGTAGCAGTCAAACAGAAATATTTTGAAGAGAGCCAGCGATAGTGATTTCGGTCATGGCTGTATTGTATGATCTTGAACTGTAAAGATTTCCAACAGCTACAGTTCATCTGAGTTCTTACAATTGTTAAATATAGCATCCTTAGGAAATAAAAATGGTACGGGTTAGAAATACCTTTGCCTTTCCACATCGTACTAGGGTTCCCATGAAAGCAATATTGCTTCTTGAAGTGAGGTCTCCATTGGTAGCAGCTGGTTGAGGGGAAGTGCATTTAGAGCAAGGAGTCGTTTCTCCTGTCAAACTAGACTCATCAATAGAAAGATCCATGGCCTTTCAAGAACAAATAGATAACATAAAACAGTTACGTTAGACATGTCAACCTTATAAAATATTAGTGGATGTATTCAGTAGTTTGAAACTCTCTTCAGCTTTATTTTTATAAGATTATGCATCTGAATGCAAATATACATGTATTTGGTAAGCTGCTTCCAGTTAACAAACCTATTGACTAATAAACTGTCCAGCTGCCCACACGATTAATCTCCTAGAATCCATTGTGAAGCTGGGGATGAGTGACTAGCAGACAATTAGCAGACAAAAAAACAGATTCTTCTGGAATTTCCAGCCAACCCAGAGAGGAGGGACCAAAAGAGATATAGTCTACTGGAAATGGTACTGGTGCTAAAAGGAATGCTCTCAGGAACCAGAGAGCTTGTCACAGGCACCAGAGGAGGTTGCACCAACATTTGACTCCAGTACAGGTGCCAGTTCCTCAAAGGAGAGAGAACACCTGACACAGGCACCAGAATTTCACCGC